ATCTAGAAGCATCTGCCCGTTTCCCTCAAATCCGAAGATCTTATGCAGATGCTGCTAGAATCCTTCCTTCGTATGATCGTCAGAGTCTTTATCCTATTTCAAATTCCACTTTACCTTCAGTTGTCCCCTCACAATCTCATTCTTACAGGAAAACTACATTTACTCCAAGACTTCCGCCAAATCCAGCATCAAGTCATGGATATGATAAATCTGCCCATGAGGCAATAATAGAGACCCCTTCTTCTTCAACTACTAATGGTTGTGCTTTAATAGGGCGGAGTATTTCCCCTAATGACAATCTCTGTGAGTTAATGATCTCCATGCTTATAAGTATGCTTTCCCGTTTCAGCGATATGGATCTCCCACTTGCCCTCCGCCAAAAACTTACTGAGCTAATTTCATTAACAAATAACCTTCCCTCCAATACTTCAGTGGAACTGCCGGAGCATTAATAATAAGAAAAATGAATTAATTTACCTTATTAATAAATACCATCCCCTCATCCTAGCCATCCAAGAGACATGGCTTAAGCCCGGGTCCCATTTTAGGATCTCAGGTTATTCATGCCTCAGGGATGATAGGCATGATGGTCATGCTGGCTCTTTCATTCTTATCTCAAAATCAATTACTTATACATTAATTTCCCTTCCTTCTCATAGTCCTTCTATTAATGCTGTAGCAGTTAGAGCTCATAACACTTCTTTTCTCTCTATTTACATTCCCGAACCTAGTTTATATATCTTGTCAGAACTTACGAGGATTGTATCCTCCATCCCTCCTCCTATGGTAATTCTTGGTGATTTTAATATGCACCATACTTTATGGGGCTCCCATTTTTGTGATCCCTGGTCTTCTACATTTTTAGACATCATTGATGATTTAGATCTCTGCCTCCTTAACGATGGTTCACCTACACGTAGAGTATCCCCCCTCCAAAATCCTAAAAGTGCAGTAGATCTGTCACTCTGTTCCCCTGCCCTGTCGTCCCTTCTTTCTTGGAGAATATTACCCTTTTCCCATGGCAGTGATCATTTCCCTATTGTTATTAATCCCCCTAGCTCCTATACAGTCAATGTTCCATTTAATCCTAGGTTAAAATATAACACATCCAAAGCAAACTGGCAACTATATTCCACAGTTCTAGAGGAAGAACTATCAGCCCTTCCTCCTGTTCAGAAAGATAATGTTCTTCAGATGTATTCTACTTTTAAAAATGCTATTTTATCTGCTGCCAATAAGACAATCCCCATCAAAAAACCTTATAAAAATAATGCTCCTTCACCACCTTGGTGGGATCAAGATTGTTCTGTAGCATGTAAGAAGAGAAAGGAAGCTGAAGTAAGATATTCCCTCTCTATGAATTTTGACAACTATATTTTTTATAAAAAAACTGCTGCTGAAACTTTAAAATTATTATCTGGGAAGAAAAAGGCTGGATGGGTTAAATTCTGTGAGTCACTGTCGCCTAGGACTCATCCATCATTAGTCTGGAAAAATATTAAAAAATTCCGATGTTCAGTTTTGGCCTCTGAAAACACAATTTCTAATGATCAGTCTTATTGGCTTGAAAATTTTGCTAGTAATTTTGCTCCTCCTTCAGTACCATCTTACAATGAAAGTATAGTATTTCAATCACAGTCCTTGCACTATCAACACAGCTTTGACTCCCCTTTCTCTTATGAGGAGTTATATGCTGTTCTTAGTGTCCTTAAAGACTCTTCACCAGGAATTGATGGAATTCCTTATTCTTTTATTACTAATAGCAGTGAATCTACTAAAGCCCATCTTCTTTCTGTTTTAAATTGTATTTACATGTCCGGTATTCCTCCTGAAGAATGGAAATCCCAAGTTATTTTACCTATTTACAAACCAGGTAAGCCTCACACTGATCCCTCAAGCTACCACCCTATTGCTCTTTCTTGTACCATGGCTAAAATTCTTGAACACCTAATAAAAAATCGTCTAGAATGGTTTCTTGAAAGCAAAAACCTTCTAGCAAAAAGCCAATTTGGATTCCGAAAGGGCTTAAGCACCATGGATAGCCTTAGTACTCTAGTTACTGATATTCGTATAGCTTACTCTAAACATGAATACCTTGTTGGTGTCTTTCTAGATATCTCGTCTGCATATGATAATGTACTTCTTCCTGTGCTCAGGCAAAAAATGCTTAATCTGAGTATTCCAGTGAGGATAGTAAATTTTGTCTCTAACTTTCTCTCTTCTAGATCCATTTATATTGATAGTCAAAATTCTCTACTCCCGCCAAGAATTGTATGGAAGGGTCTCCCACAAGGCTCAGTACTTAGTCCCTTGCTCTATTCTATCTATACTTATGATCTAGAACTTTCTGTTAACTCATTCTGTAACATCCTCCAATATGCAGACGATATAGCTATATATATTTCCTTTGATAACCTTGCTACAGCTTGTTCCCGCTTGAATCTATCAATGTCCTATTTACAAGATTGGTTAACTGATCATGGTTTGTCCTTGTCTGTTCCCAAAAGCAGTGTTGTCATCTTCTCTCGTCATAGGCAACTCCCTGAAATCGATATTCTCTTTAATAACGAACCTATCCCTATTAGGGAGAATGTAAAATTTTTGGGAGTTATTCTTGACTCCAAACTAACCTTTTCTCATCATATCAACTATGTCTCAAAAAAATGTGAAAAAAATATAAATATTCTTTGCACGTTATCGGGAGTTTGGTGGGGCTCCCATCCATTCTCTCAAAAAATATTGTACAACGCCCTTATTCGTAGTCATTTGGATTATGCGTGCTTTGTCTTGGAACCATGTAATAAGTCTTCCCTAAAGATCCTAGACAGGATTCAGACGAAAAGCGTTCGTATAATCATTGGGGCAATGAAATCTTCCCCAATAAATGCTCTCCAAGTCGAATGTGTAGATCCCCCTCTTTACCTAAGAAGACAATATCTTTCGGACCGATTCTTTTTTAAAATCTATCAACTCTCTTCACATCCTCTCATTTCTAAATTACACCTTCTTTTGGAATATATTTCAACAAAGCATTACTGGACTCATAAAGAATCTCCCTGCTTATCCAACAGTTTGGTAACATTACTCCATCTACCACACCCAGTATCACAATGCAAGTCCTGTCCCATCTTTGATATCCCATATGATGCAATTATTTTCCAACCAAATATCCACCTCGACCTTGGTATTGAGAAAGATTGCCCTATAGCAAATAGTAAACTAAGTAGAGTCATAGATAATTTATGGAAAGGCTGGCTTATTATATACACTGATGCCTCCAAAAAGTCAGGTGAAAGTTGCACTGGAGCAGCAGTTTGGATTCCCAGATACAAAATAATCCTCAATTTTAAATGCCCTTCTATTTCTTCCACTTTTACTGGCGAGGCCACGGCAGTAAAAGTCGTGATTTATATAGTCTTGATTTATATAGAAGCACACAACTTAAATAAGTCAGTTATTCTTACAGACTCCAAAAGCTGTTTGTTAGCAATTTTGTCAAACCAATTCCAAAGTAAATATAAGTTACCCTTGATCCTCAAAATTAAACACACATTGTATAGATGTCATCTCAAGGGCATTCAGGTTTCCTTAGCTTGGATTCCAGGTCATAGTGGCATTAAGGGCAATGAAACAGCTGACCTGATGGCTAAAAATGCAAGTCAAAATGGTTTGCCATGTAATTTAATTTACTCTTCAGACATAGTGTTACTTGCAAAGAAGTTAAGTAATAATTGGAACACATTATGGAAAGCCACTCAAAATATAAAAGGTAAACACTATGCTGCTATACAATGTGCCATCCCTCCAAAACCATGGTTTTTCAAATTTAATAAAGCTAACAAACAGTCAACATCAACTATTTGTAGACTTAGAATTGGCCATGCTTGTACTCCAGTACATTTAGCCAAACTGAGGATTAGGGATAGTTCCCTCTGCGAATGTGGGTTAGATGAGGGAACCTCTGACCATATTTTTTTTAACTGTCCTAAATTATCTTGTTCACTCAATGATCATCTCCCTCCTGACATCCCTCGTCCTATAAATTTTGATTCACTTTTAAGCTTTTAACTTACACAAATACTCCTTATGTATATATTCTGTGTGATTTTATTAACACTAATAGTATAAAAGTTTAATGTTTGTCAATACTAATATACTAATGTAGTTATAGCAACTGTGTTTGTCATTTGTTCTAGGTAATTCAACAGTACAACCACTAGTATTACAAGATAAAAAGGGAAAATTTAATTGTTTAAAGAAAATAAGATACTTGTATTATCACAATCTTCTTTAGTACATGGGCATAGTATTTGTAACTACTGAGCTTGTACTCAATAAACACTTCCACACTGACATTGGCGAATAATTAAAAACCGCCATAAAAAAAGAAAGAAGAACTTGCTATTCTATCTTCTCAGAGCCAAAGTGTAAAGTAATATATACACCTCAGAGCTTTGTTTGTGTTAATTATTGTTTTGTATCGTGTTGAGTTCACAGACAGAATACTTTTACTCCTAGCGAAGACTACTCCTGGTCTAGTTGTTATTAATTCGTCGTACTAGTAGTATCGGATTCTCTTGGTGTATTCTGTGATCCCTATCTGTTATTTCAACGGAACCCGCACACCATATCCAACATATATTTTGGATAAATAACAAGTGACAAGTAAAATATGGTAAGTAGTTCCACTAGGTACTATAGTACGCTTTTTATACCAGACTAGATTAAGCAATAAAATTAATGTGCGTTTTCATTTTAGGAGCTGAAAACACCACGCTCAAGAGTGCCTAATTTCACCAGCGATGAAAAGGCCCTGTTAGCAGCCCTAATAAAGAGTAAACCAATTGTGGAGTCGAAAGCAACTGACGGCAAGTCAGTTGAAAAAAAGAAAGGTGCATATACTTACACTTTCTTTTATCGTTTTATAAGCTATTGGGATCATTGGTTCCTATAAATTACTATTATGATGTGTTGTTTGTTACTTGTTATGCTCTTGTACCTTGGTAAATGAAAACAATATTTACTTCCAGCGTGATACTGTTAATTTAAAGAGGGCATGGGATAACATGAAGGCTTTTACACGTAAAGCTCGTGCAGCTGAATGTGGTAGTTTATTTAAAACTGGAGGAAGTCCTGTAAAACCTCCTCTGCCACCACACCGAGGAGCCATTATAAGCATGGTAGAAGAAGTAGGTATAATTATAAATTTTGTTTTTAATATAAAGCTGAAGCAGCTTTTTAATAACTTTTTTTTAGGCAGCACCTGTTATAATTTGTGAAGTGAAAAATTCATTTGACAGTGATGGATGCCTATTAAGTTCACTTGAAGAGGAGGAAGTAAAATCCAGTGATTGCAAAATAGGTATGTTATGTTAAATTATAAGTTTATATTATTAAAAAAATATGAGCTATATCATGTAAACATTTGATTTGAATGATTTCAGATGATAATGAACCAAATAAATATCATCTTGCAGAGTCTGAAAAAACGCTCACCGCTGAATTTCCAATTCAAGTTATAAATAACATAGGTAATACATATAAAGAAAAAACTTCCTTTCTATAGATAATATGTAAAATACTGTTTGTGTGTATTTTACATGTTTTAATATATATTTTTTCATCAGGAACTCAAGACGAACAAAACATTCCATTTAGCCCAACTGATTGTATACCTCGAAAGCCTGCAGATTATATAAGAAGAGAAGGTGTTTTATGAATAAAAAATTTGGAAGTAAAAAAACGACTGGAGGCAAAGATATTAAATTCAAAGGTTCTTCCTTTAATACATTATATATAATAATTTATTAGCTACCAATTTACAGCAAACTCACATCGGGTTATTATTTTAGTTTGTTAGTTTTATTTTAGGTTATTTTCTTTTTATATAGTTTTAATTGATAATTTTATCTGGAAATAAATAAAAAGTTAAATTGAAATGTATAACAATAGCTCCATTAAATAAATGATAGCATATTACTATCAGATCCCTGCAGCTAAATTATAGTTGCAGTATGAATGTGTCAGCTTGACCGGGGAAGGACCACACTCTCACAGAATACCAGCGTAAAATAGCAGATTAATGTTGCTGTGTTTCGTATGGTGAGTGTAGAGAACCGAAGACCCTTTTCACTGGAAACAAGGCATTCCATCTTAGTCATCACTGGTGACAACACATCTGAATTTTGATCTTAATGAAGATAAATGTAAATGTTTATAGGCCACAGTATCCACTTACCATCAGCTGGACTATGTGCTTGTTTGTCACACCCATTCTATAAAATAAAAGTTGTTTCAATAACTAACTATAAACTAATATATATATTATTTTCTTTGACAGTTGGCTACTCAAGAAATAAAACAACAGGCAGCAGAACTAGAATTACAGACAAATAAAATTCTTTTGGAAAAAGCTACATTGGAATTGAATATTTAAAAAAAAAACAGTTTACAAAATAAAACAATTAAAATACAATACAATACAATAAAAAAATCTATTGACAACAGATTGTCTGACCAAGAAACCATTACTGTTGGGGTTTTCTTGTACAGGAACATTATCGATGTTACTGATTAATATATTGTCATCAGTGTCATCAGTAGAAGGCATCATGACATCATCTAACATTTTTGATATATTATGCAGTGTGGCACATGCACATATCACTGCCACAACGGTTTCCTTTTTGACCCCCATTCCCATCTGGAGACAAGGAAACCTCCGTTTCCAAATTCCAAAGGTCCTCTCAACAGTATTCCATGTTTTAATATTGTTACGCGCCACTATTAATGTCTTGTACATGGCAACACTAGTTACACTAGCGCCCCCTAGTGTCGAGTAAATGAAAGTATTGCGCGCCACTATTAATGTCTTGTACATGGCAACACTAGTCACACTAGCGCCCTCTAGTGTCGAGTAGCAGAACTAGGAGAGTCGAGATCCTTCCAGATTTTTCGGGACCGATATGTACTCGAACATTCTAGATGTCGCTACAGTAGAAGGTTCTGGAAACTATCTGAGGCCCTATATAAGGCCGGTATAGACCACGACCGGGGCAGTATTGAATTGGCGATACAAGAGAATAATTCGAAGCGAAATAACGGCGAACTGTGTTTTATTATTAGTGTGTTTTTAGATTGTAACTAGTATCCGTAATTAAAGTGTCAATTTTGGTAATTCAATCGGCAGTTTTAATTGTCTCGAACCCCAAGTTCGTAACAATTGGTGTCAGAAGTGGGATCAAATATGCCGATTTTACCTAAAGACGACACGGAGGGTATCCGTACCCGAAGTCAACGCCAACAGGAGACGGACCAGGGACGATTTGGTAATGCAACGCCGCAAACGTCGGAGGGCCAGTTGCTAACCACGGAGGCTGGCCCGTCAGCAGCTCCTGCATCTGCAGCACCTGACTTGGGTGCTCTGATGATGATGCTGCAGGATCAGGCTCGCCGACAGGAGGAACAGGCCCGCCGACAGGAGGAACAGACCCGTCGGCTGGAAGAGCAGCTGCAGCGCGGTATGGAAGAACAGATGCTCCTCAGGAAGGACCTTCACGCTACCTTCGGGAAAGAGATAAAGGAGGTGAAGGATAGGGTTGCTCAACATGACAACCGCCTGTCGGAAGCTGAAACCCGAATCGACCAAGTGAACAATCGGGTTGACAACGTGATGGCTGATGTGAAGAAAACGCTGGACGACCTCAAACTTGGGGATGGAATCACAGCTCCCGTGGTAGCTACAACACCTTCGCTACGTGGATTCAAAGTGCCGCCGTTCGACGGGAGTTCTTCCTGGTCGGCCTACAAAATCCAGTTCGAGGCTGTCATGAAAGCGAACGGCTGGAATAAAAGTCAGGCCATGACTGCTCTCACCCTAGGCCTACGCGACCAGGCCTTAACTGTTTTGGAAGCGCTCGGTAAGGAAGTGACTTACGAGCAGCTCCTTGAGGCATTGGAGGCGAGATATGGCGATGCTCACCTGGAACACGTCTTTCGTGCGCAGCTCAAAGATCGCGTGCAACGCAGTAACGAAAACCTGCAGCAGTGGGCCCTTGAGGTGGAGAAGCTGGTTCGAAAAGCGTACCAGTCTGTACCTGTGCTCATTGTAGGGAACCTGGTGCAGACTTTCATCGACGGCATCCGCGACCTTGAAGTCAGAGCTGCTGTGAGGCTCGGGCACCACCAGACGCTTAAGGACGCCCTGACCCATGCACTGGAGGTGGAAGCCGTGCGGCAGGATCATCGTTCCCACCGCGTCAGGGAGGTTGCAGCAGCTACAGTTCAGGACCGCAATAAGGGCTATAACCCTAGGTGCTACGGCTGTGGGGAAAGGGGCCATCTTCGATCCAGCTGCCCTAAACGAACTGTAGAAAGGGAAGGTGATCGATCTCGAGAGGGTAGTGCGGATAATAGCACCGCCCAGCAGCAGCAGGGAAACGAGTAAAAGCCAGGACTGCGGGGCGGGTGCTGGCTGATGTTAAAAGAGCCCCAAGGATTTCGATCTCACAAACCCATGATGGGAACAGCCTAATCATCAAGGGCGAAGTCAACGGAACGCCGTGTAAACTGACCATAGACACTGGAGCCTCTCGCACGGTTGTCAGTTCCCAACTTATAAGTCGGTTCCTTGGGGACTCCGCATACAACCGAGAACGCATTAATTTGGTGACAGCCACCGGTCAGCGCATACCCGTCCGTGGAGAGAAGGAGATGGAGTTGAAGCTAGGCAACATGATCTACCTGCATAATGTCATCGTGGCTGATATAATGGACGACTGCATCCTGGGCCTAGACTTTATGAGGAAGAATTGTTGTGAGATCGACGTTAAGCAAGGTGTTTTGAAATGTGGACAAGAAGAACTTTTCGTGGAAGGGGCGTTACCAGGGAATGTGTACAGCCTTAAGAAGATTGTTCTTCCGCCGAGATCGGAAACGATTGTGCCGGTTAGTCTTCCTCGGAGTCCTGGGCAAGCCCATCGTTGTGTACTCGTGGAAAGGGTAGACAATGACCTTCCATGGAAAGTGGCTCGAACCTTGGTCAGAACCACCGACATCTCAGGAGTACGTGTGTTGAACCTTTGTGATCAGGAACAGATTATAGAAAAAGGCACATTGGTTGGTACTAGTGAGGAAGTGGATTGGTTGCGTCGATGCGAATATCTATCGACCGGGACCCCCAGCAAGGATGGACAAACGATAGTGACCACACTTTTGGAAGACTGTCGCAGCGTTCTTTCCCCGAATGAAATGGTCAAGGCGAAGAAGTTGTTACTTAAGTACGCCAATGTTTTCTCGTCAAACGAAGCTGACATAGGAAAGACTGGCTTAGTTCAACACAAAATAAACACAGGACAAGAATTGCCTATTCGTCAGCGGCCAAGAAGATTGCCTGTAGCACGTGAAAAGGAAGTGGAAACCATGATTGAGGGAATGGTGAAGGATGGTGTTATTGAACCTTCATCTAGTCCATGGTGTTCACCTGTGGTGCTGGTAAAGAAGAAGGACGGCAGCATGCGGTTTTGTGTTGACTATCGCCGCCTGAACGACATTACAAAGAAGGACAGCTATCCCTTGCCAAGAATTGATGACACGCTGGATATGCTTACAGGCGTAAAGTGGTTTAGTACGCTAGATCTGAAAAGTGGCTACTGGCAGGTTGAAATTGACCCTAAGGACAAGGAGAAAACTGCATTCTCCACAGGAAAGGGTCTGTGGCAATTCAAAGTCATGCCGTTTGGATTGTGCAATGCTCCAGCAACGTTTGAAAGGTTGATGGAGCTTGTACTTACCGGGCTAATTGGAGATGCTTGTCTGGTCTATTTGTTTTATATCTATTTCGTAGGCCGTACGTTTGAGGAACACCTTCAAAACCTGGAACGCGTGCTCATGAAGATCCAGAGTGCCAACCTCAAGTTGAGTCCAAAGAAGTGCTCACTATTCAAACGGCAAGTTAGTTTTTTGGGGTATGTAGTGTCGGAAGAAGGTATCCGCACGGATCCAGAGAAAATTGCTGCTGTCAAGGAGTGGCCGGTCCCAAAAGACAAGACACAGGTTAGAGCATTTTTGGGTTTGTGCTCTTATTATCGGCGATTTGTGAAGAACTTTGCAGATATAGCCAAACCTCTGCACAAGCTAACCGAGGAGAAGCGACAATTCTGCTGGGATGAAAGTTGCGATATTGCATTCCAGGAGCTCAAGAACCGCCTGTGCAAAACACCTATTTTGGGGTACCCTGATGCGGGCAAGGAATTCATAGTTGACACAGACGCAAGTGATATAGGACTCGGCGGTGTGTTGTCTCAACGGAATGGTGATCAAGAGATTGTGATAGCGTACTTCAGCAAGTCGTTGTCAAAGCCGGAAAGGAACTATTGTGTCACAAGACGAGAATTGCTTGCTGTGGTAAAGTCCTTGCAGCATTTTAGCAAATATCTTCTAGGGCGGAAATTCCACTTACGAACTGACCATGCTGCACTGAAATGGCTATTGCAGTTCAAAAATCCTGAAGGACAAGTTGCGAGATGGATAGAACTACTGCAGGAATACGACTTTGTGATCGAACATCGCAGCGGGAAATCTCATGGCAATGCAGATGCATTGTCAAGAAGACCTTGCCCTGAAGATTGCAAGCATTGTACTAGGCAAGAGAGTAAGTAAGTGGTATCTGTGAGAATGCTCAGGACAGACCAGCTCAGCAATGAGTGGAAGGACAGCCTA